TTCATATAAAATACTAAGAAAAAAATATGAAGAATGTGAAGGAGAAAAATGATAAAACATTACTAAGGACTTGGAAGAATATATAAATACATGAACAGATGTGCTAAATTTATCAGTAGAATGACTTAATACTGTAATGCTGTCCTCACAGTAGTTGAAATTCATGGAACAGAATTTTAGTGTGAATCTGGACACACTAATTCTAAAGTTATTATAGATGAATAAAGGACTAAACAGAGCAGTGATGAGTTTGAAAAGGAAGGAGGGGAAATACACAAAGTTGACAAGCTTATGTAGGAGAATTGTTTTATTTCACATGTTCTAGAGAGAGGGTACGTAGTAGTTACTTCTTATTTTAAAATTTATTTGTCTTATTCATGATAGCCTGTGTGTGCACAGTAGAGAGAGAGAAAGAGAATGATAGGGTCCCCCTTTCCCAGCCCTTCAGCTCTCCGGTATCTAGGGAATGAGCATACATACCCAGTGTGTTTTCAGGCCGACTTGGGGATTTGAACCTGTAGTTGACCATGCAGCTTTTGGCATGCAGTTCATTTTGAGCTTTTAAAAGTAAAAATAGTCTTTAGTAATAGATGCACAAACAAAATTTAAAAGAGTATATGTACTGTGGGGAAAAAAACCAAACAAACAAAAACAAAACAAAACAAAACAAAAAAACAACTCTTCCTCCTATCCTTTGTCCCGTGAGCCAATCTTAACAGTTTCTGGAGTGCAGATACCTCTAGAATACATTTTTGTATATAGAAAAATAATTATATAGTGTTTTTCAGAAATAGTGTAATCTTAAACCATAATTTTTTGAGAGCATATCCTAGAATTTTTGTCATCTTAGTACCTATACCACTGCTTCATTTCTTATAGACCATATAATAATTCTTGGTATGATTATATTATAAATTTTTTAATCAGTTCCCTAAAATATATATTCGGATTATTACCTTTTCTTGCTGCTAGTAATGTTATTTGCCAGCTTCCTGGATTTATTTCTTTGGCAATTGGCCTTTTGAAGTATTCTGCTATTTTCTGTAGTCAAGTTTTAGTCATTTATATTTTCTTAGAAAATCATAGTGTTTATCTTACATTTTTGCATAGAACTGAACAAAGTGGTTGCTTATGAATATTTTAATTTCCTTTTATGTAGCTATATCTCTGTGGACATTTCTTAGTTTGTATGTCTGTGCTTTGTGTCTTCACTGCTGATGAGATTAGCTAATGATACTTCTCTTTTATTTTTCCTTAAGAAGGAGCTGGGTGAATATCATTAGTTCTACAATTTGTATTTTTTAACTAGCATAGTATTAACTTTTTCATTACTCTTTTTTGATCTTTTGCAAATGTTGACCTTTTTTTTGACTCAGTGGTTGTTTGTGAAAATTTTCTATTTGTTATTTTATCTGGTTTAATTTTATTGTGACTAAGAAATCTATGTCATTTATGGACTCTATGAAGTAATGTGATCTTTGTGGTGATTTCGTAAACAATTTTTTAATAAATGTTCCTGGGACCTATTGAAGGTATTTCTTTAAGTTAGCTAGATATATCTTATTAGGTAGGTCTTCTATACCCATACTTAATTTTAGTCTACTAAATGTCTTGTGAATTGACAAGTCACTTAAGGTTTCACAATTTTATAGTTCATCCATAATTCCTGTGTTCCTTATAGTTTTGCATTATAACTATAACCCTGTTTGCTTTTTCTAAAAATGAGTTTTGCCTAGGATTCCAAGTCCTGTATATTGTAATCTGGGTTCTTGGTTCATTTGGATTGCATTAAAAAAAAATTAAAGAATTTTAAAAAGTTATTTATTTTGTACAAGTGACAGAGAGAGCACCCTTAACAGGGTCCTATGCCTCAGATTCCCCGCTCCTGCACCCCGGCTTCCCAGCCAGCCAAGATCCTGGGCCCATGCACCTGGTATATATGTATTGGCAGGGAAACTGAACCCAGTATCCTCCCTATGGATCCAGCATTGTGTGAGCAGTGTGTTACCAGTGTACCACTGCCTTGCGTTTTATAAAAAGCTTTTTTTCTTGAGGGTGGGGTGGAGGGAAGGGGAGAGAGACAGGTACCCTTGACAGGGTCTTGCTATGTTGTGATCCTCTGCACAGCTTCCTAGTTAGCCAGGGTCACAGAGGTGCACAGGTGTGCCCAGCCTGTTTAGGTAGACCTGGGAACTGAACCCAGCCTTTCCCAGCATTACACAGCAGCACTCTGTCACCTGCACCTCTACAGCTGGGCCTAGATCGCATTTTATGATATACCTTTGCCTGTTTGATTTCAATCTTTCTGAGTCATTATATTTTTCAATTGTTGACCATAACCACTATTGTATTAATTTAGAAGACAAACATGTTTGGTTTTGGTCCTCATTATATTTAATATGCTTTCTGGTTTTATTGTTTCTTTCATTGTTTTTGTGTTTTACCATCTCATGTGTTTTGTGTGGGTTTCTGCAGAGCAATTGTGTTTTTGTGCTGAGGATTAACTCTAAATTGAAGAGACAGTCTTAATTCCTAAGATAGTTTTTAAATTGATTGTTTACTGGAAACAGTGGGGAAATTAGTACGTTTTCACTACTACCCTTCCCTACTTTCTAAGCTTCAGTTATTGACTTTTATATATCAAAATATATTTATACCTTTACTACAAGATTTATCGCTTTTAATATTTTGACTATTAGTCAGAAAAAGTGACAAAATGAGTGTAAACAAAATCCCCCCTTCCGTTCCTACATCCCCCATTTTGTGAATTACAGCATGTGTCCGTTGTCAGTGTTAATGTTCAGTTCTGTTCCGTAACCATGGACTACATTTCTTTCAGTCTTAGTCCTTATGTAGGTGAGAGAAAAAACAGGCAGAAAACAGAGTGAGTTATCTTGCATATACTGAAAATGCAAATGCTCATCTTTAGTCTCTTTTTTCAGGGAATTACTGGTTTTCCATGTTAAAATTCTTCATCTGAGTTTAGAAGGTTCTTTAATGTTGAGTTTTTGTATTTTCAAGATTGTTGCTTTGATACTTGAATGACACACTAATCAGATCTGAAATTCTTATGTCATACTTTATTTCCTTGAGTATGTGATAGGCATTACCCCTCTGTTTTTTTAGCATGGGATATTTATCTGGAGAAGGTTGAGGCCAGTCTGGTTTGTCTCATAATTTTTTTTTTTTTAATCTGGATGTTATAAGGACTTTTTGAAGTCCAGTAGTTTACCGGAGATACATACACACACACACACACAGACTCACACACAGATACACTGATTTATATGTGTGTGTGTATGTGTATACATATGTATATATCTCCACATTGTGTGTGTGTGTGTGTGTATCAGTATTAGAGTTTATTTGGAGGAGAATGGAAAGTGGCACACATTCAACTACTTCTGTAATGTTTCAGTTTAGTTTTAGTTTTGCTATAGAGCACAGGTGCTTGCTGGAGAGAAGCAGAGGGAGAGAGTCAGAAATCACCTCTCCCACCTGCAGGGGGTATGGTCATACTGCCATACCTTCTCTATTCTAGGGATTTGGAGCATGCATGCCCATGCATTCAGAATGTTTTTCAAGCGGCTGGTTCCAGAACTTTTGAACCACACAATCAGCCATGTGGGTCCAGCCATCTTAACCTCTATGCTAACTATTGGCCCAATAACATTTTAATTTTTAAATAAAGCAAAATATGCCAGATGTTAATGTGGGTTAAATGTGACTGATGACTACAATGGAAACTATAGTAATGCCTGTGTTCCAGGGTCTATTTGGACTATTTCTTTTTGTTTTATTTACAATTAAATACAATGGGGCCAGCCCTGTGACATGGTGGTTAAGGAAGCTAGATCCCTCATGGCTGACTGTGCCGTTCTCGTCTTGACCCTGGCAGCTTGAAGAACACCCCTTGAATGTTTGCGTGTGTGCTCCAAGTCCCAATGGGATGCAGAAATGGAGAACAGATTGTGGTGTGACCATGCCCCAACGCGAGGTGCTTTTGTCTTCTCTCTCTCCGTTGAGTGCATGTACCCTCTGGCAGAACAACAACAAAAAGATCAGAACATTTGTGTGTTTCAGCAACTCAATCCAGAGTATATGTAGTATCTTCAAAAAGTTTATGGAAAATGTATATTATGAAAAAACTGCATAGATTTCAAAAATTTTTTGCACAGAAATAATGGACTTTAATTCCATTTTTTCCATGAACTTTTTTTTTTTTTTTTAGAGGTTTTTGCTATAGGGTGCGTGCACTTGCCAGACAGAGAAAGACAGAGAGACAGAAAGCGAGAAATCACCCCCCAGGGGAGATGGCCACGCCTCAATCCCTACTCCTCCGTTCTCCTCTTGGGATCTTGGGCACGCACGCACACGACACGTGTCCGGCGTGAGTTTTAAGCCACTGGGTCTGGGATGCAAACCACGGTCGACTACGTGGGTGTCCAGCAACATAGCCATTATGCTAACTGCTGGTCCCTCCATGAACTTTTTGAAGTGTCTTCATAACATGCACTCATGTTTTCTTTGTGTGTTGACAACTACTAGGTCATTTCTTTATTTTCTCTGGTATCACTTCCTGGGTTTGGAGTAAAAGTATTACAGAACACTTCCGTAGTGATAAAGTCCTCTAGTTGGGAATTATAAAGTTCTAAAGTCAGAATCTGCAGAGTAGGAGGTCATTGGTAATAGTTCCAGAAACCAAAACTAAATGAACCGTTTGACTAAAATCTGTTAAGTGATTTGTATTCGCTGGTTTGGGACTCTTTTGAACAAATACTATTTTCTCGACAAACAGGATAAAACTTAGGTTTTAAAAAATACCACGATATTTGGAACAGTTAAATATTAAGGGCTCTTTTTTTTCTTTCTTTCAACAGGGCTCTCATAAACACGAGTCATAATGAAAGTGAAACCAATCACCTCCATTTTCTTACTTTTATTAATTTTTACTTTTCAACACTGAGGGATTTTTAAATTTGTTCTTCCTCTGTGTTCAGGTATATGTCTCGAGTCCACGGTATGCATCCAAAAGAGACCACCCGTCAGCTGAGCTTAGCTGTGAAAGATGGTCTTATTGTCGAAACTCTGACAGTGGGCTGCAAAGGTTCAAAAGCTGGTATTGAACAAGAAGGATATTGGTTGCCAGGAGATGAGATTGTAAGTATATTTTATTTGATGAACTTAGAGACTTCCTGTTTTTGAACATTGCTTAGATACAAACTATGGAAATTAATTTTCAGAAGTTTAATTGTATTTCATTTTAACATTTTATTCACATTAAGGCTCTACACTGGTAGTTTTTTTTTTTTGTCCCTACTGATTATTTTGGAGATTACAAAGAGCCTGCTTTTACTGTCTATGTTACCTTGAATTAAAAAACTAAAAACAAAAAAAAAATAAGAAAACAAAAAACAAAAACTTTCTAATGTACACACAATTAGTTGCATTCCAAGTGGTTTTTCAGTAAAAATTAGGAAAAAATGTTTCAATGCTGGGTAATCTTGATGCCATATAGACAGACTGAAAAGGAAACATTGTCTTAAGGACAACAGTCTCACTTTGGGATGGATGGCCTCAGACCCCAGGCATGTTCAGTGGGAATTCTGTGTTAGAATATAGAAGTTCCAAGTGGATTCTGTGGGCGGCCAGCATCTTCACTGACTGAAGACCGTTGCAGATTTTGTGCACTAGAACAGGAGACACATAAGAAAGACACAAGTTGATTCTTTATGTTTTACCTGGTTCTTTGACTCCTTTTTAAGTCAAGATATTTTTAATCTTCTCATGTTTCCTTTCTCTATATAACTTTATACTCAGAGGCACATATTAAATACATTTTTATATGTATATGTAAAGATTGGTTTCATGTGTAATACTTTTATCTTCCTACTTTATTTTCTTTTGACATTTTAATTACCTTGATGAGAAAGGCCTTATTTTTTCTTTATTATTATTATTATTTTTTTTACAAATGAGCATCACTTGAGGTGATAGGTTTTAAATATATAGATATTGATTTTTAATATTGGGTCATCGGAAAAGTCAAGGTGTATTTTTCTATGCAAAAATGTGTCATGACTTTTTCGATGACCTGATAGTTTTTAGAACGAATGCATGTAGTAACTGGATATTTTGAGAGTGTTTTGTCATGAATTCTAAAAGTTTAGAGAATTAATTTCTAAAATCATAAACATGACGTACAATATTTGAAATAGTTTTTCATCTTCCCAGAACTTGGCATTTACTTGTTTTCTTTGCTGTATAGCAGATGGGCCAGCAGACATAGCTGTCAGGTCTGAGGGTCGTGCACCCACCAACACGGTTTCTGTTGGGAGCTGGGTCACAGAAGGAGCTGCAATTACGTTATGAACCTAGAAAAATGGTTGCATTTTAGCGTGCTTTTTAAAGTTAATTTTATCTGTGCTTTCTATGCTTTAGAAAAGAGAATTCCCATTTCCCACAAATAGAAAACAGCGAAGAAAAAATTCTTTACTTTCGCTGATCTCATTTGGTTTGGGCAAAGTATTCTTGAAAACTTAAATGGAGATATTTCTAACAGAACAATTTTTCCCTTGAGTCTCCTTAACGAAACATCAAACTAAGTTGCAAGTTAAGAAACTTCAAGTGCTAAGACATAAAAATAATGTCATGTGATATAAATCTGTTTTCATCAGGCAGTTACGAGGGCTGTTAATAATTGATAGTTTATTATGCACTCAGAATATTCCATATTATATAAATTACGAAACTAACCCCCAAACAGTTGGAAAGTGTAGATTTAGTGTAAAAGACTAAACAGATAAATTGTGAGATATTATTGATACATATTAATAGTAAGTATAACTTAATTCACAGGATTTTGGTTTATGGATTATGTGTACTTTTTTTTGTAAAAGTGATTTTACTTTACTTTTTAGATTCGTACTTTCCCATATGCTTTCTTCTTCCGCACATTGAGGTTTCTTTGCTCAGTTTAATTCAACAAGCAGTTAATGAGCTTAGCCTGTGTTCATCAGTATATTAGGCTCTTTATTCTATTTTTAATTTTTACATGTTCTTAGTGCATTTATTTTTAGCATCATCCTTTTTTTTTCTAGATGAAATCTTAAATGTAAATAAAAAACCCACATTTTTATTCACAAATGTTTTAATACTATATATGCGTGTGTAACATAAAAGCACAAAGGAAAAATTGTACCTAAATTATAAAATATGTAAATATTTATAATTCAGAAGTAATGTAGTATAATAGAAAAAGATAAGGTCTTATGTGTTACAATACACAGGAGTTTCAGTTTCATTTCAAGCTTTCACTTATTTGTATGACCTTGACGATATTTCTTAATCTCTTAGATTCTCAGTCCTCAGCTATATTAAGGGTATATTGATATTTATTTTATTTTATTACCTTATTTATATGCGATTATCCATATAAAGTACATAACCATGTTTTCAAAGCAATTTTAAGTTTACATATTCCATGAGAGATAAACAGACAGCCACCTCAGGCAGAGTCCTCACACCCAAGCCAGCTGGCCAGGATCATGGACCTGTCCACGTGAGTCCAGTTGTATTACTTCTGTGTGACCACCTGGCACCTCGAAGCAAGTTTTGACCAGTGCAGAAATAGGCTTAATAGTTATCTACTCTACAGCAAAATGACTATACTTAATAGTAATGTATATTTCAAAGTAGTTAAAAGAATGGATTTTTTTTCTCACCACACACACACACACACACACACACACGATAAATATTCAGGTAATGGTATGCTCATTAGCCAGTCTGATTATTCCAGTATGTACATGTACTGAAACATCACATTGTACCCCATCAATATAGACCATTACTAATTGTCAGTTAAAAATGAAGTAAAACGGCCCAGGCACAGTAGTGCATGCTGACTGATGCTTCTACTCATCAGGCGAAGGCCCCATGCAAGGTGGGTTCAATTCCTGCCCACTGTGAGAAGCCAGGCGTGGTGGTACACACCTCCAGCCACTCTGGAGCCCATGACAAGAAGATAGCATTCTTAATTTTTTCAGAGAAGTTTTTGCGTTAGAGTGTGTGCACTTGCTGGAGAGACGCAGGGACAGTAAGAAGGAAAGTGAGAAATCACCCCCAGAGGGGATGGCCATACCGCAATCCCTTCTCCTCCATTCTCCTCTCGGGATCTTGGGCACGCACGCACACATGACCGGCGTGTTTTAAGCCACCGGGTCTGGGACTTGAACCACGGTCGACTACATGGGAGTTCAGCGACACAGCCATTATGCTAACTGCTGGTCCCTATGAGACCCTATCTTTAAAAAAACCCAAAACAGGGGCCGGCAAGTGGCATGGTGGTTAAAGGGGCTGGACTCACACATGGCCGACCACGGTTCAAGTCTTGGACCTGGTGGCTTGCTTTCTCACTTCCTCTCTCTCTCTCTCTGATCAAACTGAAAAATAATAATGATAATAATAATAAATAAAACTAACTAAAATAATTCTTAAACCCAAAACAGAAAAACCCTCGAAAGTTTTTTTTTTTAAAGTTTAAAATAAGAAAATGTCTGTATATAGTGCAGAAAAAAGCACAATTCTTTTTCTTTTCTTTTCTTTTCTTTTTTTTTTTTTTTTTTGAGAGTTTTTTGTAATGGGCCGCATCCACTCAGTGAGGGGAGAGATAAAAAGCGGGAGAAATCATCCCCTCTACCATGGGGGGATGGTCACACCGCAATCCCTTCTCCTCCTTTCTCCTCTCAGAATCTTGGGCATAGGTACCAGGTGTGAGTTTTAAGCCACTGGGCATGAATTTTAAGTCATAGGTTCAGGACTTGAGCCACAGCTTGCCATGTCAGAGTCCAGTGACGTAACTACTACACCGTCTGCTGGCCCCACATTTCTTACTAACTAAATCATCAAAAATTCTTATCAGTGCCTTTTTACTTTCAAAGTATATCTTCAAACATAAGACTTAAAAAGAGGTTTCCCATTAAAATAAGATCTTTATTTAAGGTAGCTATAAAATAATGAAACTAACCATATATGTGTTTTGTTATCCTGACTAGTATACACCTGACTTTCCTGAGGTTATCTGTATGCCACAGTTTTCATGCCCTAGTAACACTTTAAAAGGACAGATCATTAACTATGTTACAATTGGCTCAGCACAAACATCTCACACTGGCCAGCTTTGTGCACTGGTAGTAACTCTGTGGCCTGTGCAGGCAGCCTGCTGCCTATGGTGGGCTCATTTGTGAACCACACAACTTGGGAAGCACCATTCACACCACAGCCATATATTTCCAGTTTTAGTCAATCGTTCTCTAGCATATGGCAGCAAAGTGTCTTATTCTAATAAAACAAATACTATATACAATAAGAATGTCTCTGAGGGACCAGCAGATGGCATACTGGTTACATTGCTGGACTCCCACTTAGTCAACTGCAGTTCAAGTCCAAGTCCTGGACCCAATGACTTAAAACTCACACTGGGTGCATGTGTATGTGTGCCCAAAATCCTGAGAGGAGAATGAAGAAGGGATAGCAGTGTGGCCATCCCCTCTGGGGGATGATTTCTTGCTTTCTGTCTCTTCTCTGTATCTCTGTCTCTCTCCAGCAAGCCCACGCACCCTGTAGCAAAAATCGGTCTTACAAAAAAAAAAAAAAGTCTGTGAAAGTGTCACCTTTTCTAATTAGCACAAAGGTATTCTGTGGCCCAGTGACTCCTGCATGCTTGTGTTTGTGTCTGGGATCCCTCCTTTATAGTCTCACCACCTTGTTTATAGCACAAATCACTCTGCCTGCTGCCTCTTAAAACCTGATAGCTTTGTCAAAGCCTATTAATTGATTTCTTCTATGAGACACAGAGATAGGTGTTCCGAACAGGTTCTCACACTGTAATTCAGGCCCCGTCAAAGCTAGTCTGGATCACTGGTACATGCGCACGTGTGTAGGATACACTGGGGAGACCTTGGGATGTGAACCTGGGACCTTCCCCTGAGAATCCAGCATTGCAGAGCAGTGCATTACCACTGTGCCACTCTCTGGCCCCATATACTTGAGTTTTCTTATTGAAAGATGTATGCCTTTATCTTGCTCCCTTGCCAACCCAGTATCAGGAAAAGAAAAAGTCAGCTAGCTAAATGAGACTAAAGAAAGTTCATAGAAAATGGAACTAAAATATGTTTATTATGGTACAAGAAAATTTTAAGACCCTTGTATAGTTTTTTTGTAATACATGCTTTTCATGAACTTTCTGAAGATTTCTCATATATGGCCTTGGGAGGGGCGGTATAGGATGTTTTTGGTTATTTGCTTTTAAACATTTAATTGAGCTACAGATATTCTTTACTCAGGCAGTTCTGTCATTTAAAGCTGAGTAGTAAAACTCTTCTTTTCCCTTTATCATCTCTGAAAATAGATGCTATGGCTGTAGCTGTAGACTTGAAGGTGAGGATAAAAGTATATTCCTCTTGAAAAGTACCACAGGCTCTATCTCCTGAGGTACTCTGTATCAGCAGAGAGTGGACCCTACCTGTCTTCACTTCCACAGTGATGCTGAGAAGGAGAAGGTAGACCAGGCTTTAGTCTGCCGTGTGCCACTGGAATACAGTTGATAGTTTGTTGGTATTACATTCTTATTCCACCTCTGCTACCGTTTTCCCACTGTGTATTTCAACTGGAAAAATGCATACCTTGAGCATTATTTTTATTAAATCCATCAACTATCTAATAAAAGCCGAAATGCAGTATGTGTGGATAAAATGATACATAACCTAAGAGGAAGCCTATAATATTGCAAGTTGATTACGGACCCCAGGGTACTGAGATTCCTTCTACTATACTGGAATGACTGTTAGATATTTTGAGATGCTCCCTATCATCATTTGCAGCCCCCTATGTAAGCAATAATTCATTCAGAGAAACTGTGATGAAATCAGGCAGTAAATAAGCATCTTCATGGTGATATTTCAAATATGTTTACATGAGGTGGCAGAATGAAAAAATACTTATTAAAAATGAGGCTACTCCAAATTTGAAATAGTTTTTTTTATATGAGTAAGTAAGCATAAGTATATATACCAAGCAACTTTAAAGAAAAGAATTATGTAATTTTATTTATCATTATCATTTTTCAATTTAATGAGAGAGAGAGAGAGACAGGGAAAGTGAGAGAGCAAGCTGCCAGGTCCAAGAATTGAACCACAGTCAGCCATGTAGGAGTCCAGTGCCCTAACCAGCATGCCACTTGCCGGCCCCTGTACCAACCAATTTTTAAACTGACAAACTTGCTAAATCTGGGAAACACTCTAGTAAATTTCCTATGGTCATCTGAAACTTCCAGATTGGTATATCATGAACACAACTCATAGGGCCCAAATAATTTGTCTAAAGGTGTTTTTTGTAGCTTTTGAAATTATATTGGTCAAAGGCCATTGGACCTTAAGGCACAGAGTAAAACTGTTGATGTCTGACCATTCAGCAGTTTATCATATCAAGACTTTTATCTCTTTGGTTTTTTAAAAAAGAATTACTACATGTTCTCATGAGCTTGTAATTTCTTCCTTTATTTGCTTTCTCTAAGAAATACACATGAAAAAAGAATTACTACATGTTCTCATGAGCTTATAAATTCTTCCTTTATTTGCTTTCTCTAAAGAAATACACATGGAGATGGCTAGATTCAAGTCATATTTCTTCACAGTAGTTCATCCCCTTTATTCTTATAACTTGAGTCATGTGTTCCTTGGGCAGAATTTCACCACCTGCAGGTCTTAGTTAAGTTTGGTATTTAGTAGCTCTCTTCAGTATGTACAGTTGTGTGCTGTGGAGCAACCTTTCTGTTAACAACAGACTGCATCTGTGATGGTGGTCCTAAGATTACACTATCCAGCCTGCCTGTGCAGGAGGCTGTATTACCGAGGTTTGTGTACGAACACGCTGATATTGACCCTGGGAGGAAATTGCCCCACACATCCCCATCATTAAGCAGTGCATTACTGTATAAGTTAATCTCTTCAGTCAAACATTTAAAAGTAGTCCATTTTTCTCTAAGATAGGAAAATCTTACCAAAGCATTTAGTGTAGTATAGTAAGACAGGTAATCTTGAGTTGTGGATCATTTGCAGATAAAACAGATGAAACATTTTTTTTTTAAAGAGATATTTTTGCTATAGGAAGCACACACTTGCTGGAGAGAGAAAGTGAGAAATCATCCCCTAGGGGGCATGGCCTCGCCATCGTTCTTTCCTCTCCATTCTGCTCTTGGGGATTTTGGGCATGCACACATGCCTCGTGTGAGTTTCAAGCCTCCAGGTCCAGGACTTGCACCATCGTTGGCTTTGTGGGAGTCCAGTGACATAACCATTATGCCATCTGCTGGTCCCTAAATTTGTATTTTGAAACTATTCCTATTCATAAAATGCTATTATGTGACAGATACGTTTGATTTGGCATTAAATAGTTCAGTTACCAGGCGTGTTGAGGATGATTTAAAAATGTTAGAAAAATATATTGTATAACTACTTCTTTTACTTACCTGCTAAATTTGGACAGGACCTCTTTTCTTCTTTCATAGTTTATGTTGGTACACAAAAAAATGATCAGTTTAGGAACTGACTATAGCTTGCATTTTTTGCAAGGGCATCTTTTTATTTTGTTTAGTTTTTGCTATAAGGGTGCCATGTGCTCATTAGACAGGGAGAGAGAGAGAGAGAGAAATCACTTTCAGAAAGGATGGGCACACTGCCATCACTTCTCGGTTTTCCTCTCAGGATTTTTCGGCACGGACACACACCTGGAATTGTTTTCCAAGCCACTGGTCCACGATGCAAACTGCACAGTCAGCCATGTGGGATCCAGCACCTTCACCACCAGATGAATATCTGACTCAGAGCATCTTTTAAATGAAAAGATTGAGTACATTTTGTATTTTTCACTTTTTCTCATTTGCTTAATATTTATGACACCTTAAGTACCCATGGCTAGAAGTGGTCTCTTGCTTTGTTCTTGAGAAAAATAGGAAGAGAGACTAAGTTCAAATTGAGCTTGATCCTCCCAAAATTTTTCATGAATATAGCACGTTACGGTAAGGATGTTTTACAGAGATTAGATGTGTGCCTTTTTCTTGCTGAAATTACAGTAAACAGTCATATGTTTTAAATACCTTAAGTGCAAAACTTGATGCCCCTGGGTACTGTTGATTTCCTTTTTTACTGCGAAATATATTTTATTCTATTTATCTAATTATGTACAGATTACACATTCTTTCCAAACATCCATTCCCTTCCTCAGTTATAAACATTAAATGATCTTTTTTTCTAAGTAAAATATTGGTGATTTTTAGTTAATTAGAAACCAGTTACACTATGCTTCTATGTACATTTAAACTGTCATATATTTATAATCAGAAATTATTCCTGCTTTGGTAAAGAATTGCCATTTCATTTAGTAGAATATTCTGGGGTCATACTATCCTGTTATATTTTTTTCCACTCACGTTGCTTGTGTGTGTGTGTGTACGTATGTGTGTGCATGAGTTCTTTCTGATTTTCATTCTCCTTCTGTCTAAATTCTGTTTCACTGAACAGTGCTGTAATATTTTTATTTTAAAGGCAAATAATATTTTAAATTACTAGAACTATGCAACCATCAAATCCTTACCTCCTAATTAACTGAATTTTTTAAACAGAATTAAACTAAACCCAGAATTGAAGAGAATTAGTTTTAAATTATGTCTATGTTAAAATACCATATCAAGCACACATATTTGGTAGTGTAATATGTCTCTACTCATTAAGTAGAAATAGAAAATTACTGTATAAATTAAGATTGCTTTTGAATTCTGATGAGGGCAGATTGTAATTTGTAACATCTTATTCTAAGTATTCTTTTACTCATCCCCTTTGCTATATGACTAACAATTCTGTGCTTCAGTTTGTCTCTAAATTGGAGTTAATAATATTTCTTGCTCTATTTAGCTTACAGAAATGTTGTAGAAGATGTGATAATGAATTTCAAAGTGCCTGGAAAAGAAACACGTACCTACACATAACTATAAGCATGTTCTATCATTTGTGACCTGGTCAGTTCCTGTCCTGTACACCAAGTAGATCATCTTAACACCACTTAACATTTCCCGAGTGTCTGCCTTGTTCTAGGCACTCTTCTAAGGACTCTCTATGTGTTAACTATTTGAGTCTAAGAAAACCCTGTAAACTAGGTACTATCATTTTGTTCCTTTTACAGGTAGAAAATGACAGAGAAGCTAAGCCTTCTGCCCTGATTACAAAGCCGTGGGTGCCGAGGGCAGGATGTGAACCAGTCTGGTTCCAGAGCCTTAACCAAACGCTCTATGGAAGACAGAGACATAGATCAGTAGGCAGCTGCTAGATGGGGGATTTTTTTCCTACCAGGTTCTGAAGACTCCCATATAAATTTCATACCATGGTGAGGTATTGAGTTACTAGAGTGGTAAACTCAATATCACTTCCAGTTTTTAAGAAATCCAAAGTGGACCAGTTTTAGCTCAGTTAGATACACATTCAGGATCTTGTGCAAAGTTATAATGGCACCAAATTTATTAAGAAAATATTTTTCTAACATCATCATAGGTCTCATGGTACATGAATTCCTGGAAAGAGACTTTCTCAACGTCTATTTGTAGTTTTCCTGTTAGTATGAAAAGTTTCCTCTTCAACTAATAATGACTCTTAAGTTTGCATGCTGGTGTCTGTTCATGAATGATTCACACATTGATAGGTTATCCGTTAATATCATCTGAACATAGTATAAGTCATATAGCAAATAATAGTTTGACCATGTATGAAATCCCTTTAGCCCTGTGTATTGCCTGATATTGAGCAAAGTTATAGTAGAGAGACCAAGATTATTTTGTTTTTATTTTGAAAGGCCTACAGTATGCAGCCTTTCTCCAGGACAGCAACCCCAAACAAGGTGAACTAATTTTGCACTATGTTATACTTACTTCTGCCTTTTTTTTTTTTTTCCGGTATTACATTTCTATCTTACTTTAGACTTAGCTTAGTTAACTCTTGCTAGAATTGTTTGTTAAAACCATACTATCTTTACATTGCTTCTAGTTTGGAATTTTGTGCTAGTAGGTTTGCTTTTATAAAGCTTTCTTATTTGAAGTGGAATTTCACATATGTTATTAAGCAGGCTGTTTCTAGAGTAGCTAATGACATCTGGTGGAATCCAGTGAAAATGCAAACTTAGTTTATTGGCGTAGTTATTGAATGTTAGTCAAAAGCACTGTATAAAATGATTTCTATTCATTAAAAAGGAAATTGTAGACAACTTGGCCTATCATAAACATGCCTATAGTATTAAACCTTAGAAAAATGCTTCCTGCGTTCAGAATCTAGTAACTTTTGAACTTGACTTTTGCATGTCTCATGTATTCTAAACAGCTATTGCCATGATTCTGCGTTCCCCAGCCCATACTTGTTTTTGTTTTTTCTTTCCAGATTTTTGCCATAGGGTGCATGTTCTCACCAGAGAGAGACAGAGAAAGACAGACAGTGAGAGAAAGGTGAGAAATCCCCCCCCCCCAAAGGGGGTGGCCGCACCACAATCCCCTTTTCTCTATTTTCCTAGGATTTCGGGCATGTGTGCACACGTATATGGTGTGAATTTCAAGCTGCCAAATCTAGGACTCAAACCACCGTCAACTATACAGGAGTCCCACTGCCTTAACCACCACACCACCTACTGGCCCCACCCATACTTTTTTAAAAAATATAATACAATGGAGTTAGTTATATGTCACTATATAAATAAATGTATATCCAAGTATTTCTCTACTTTTACTTCATGTGAATTGTACTTTCATTTCTTTATAGATATGAAAAACTAGAGCTAGAATTAAACACCCCATAGAAGAAAGGTCCACTTTCACTTTCATTTTATGGTGTTTGGAAAAGGATAGGAATAAAGGTAGGAGGTAATAGAGAGTAGAGCTATGCCTAAAATCGTATTCTTGCTTCTCTTTCTTAACCTAGCAACTACCATTCTATCACATGAAGATAAATTAATATTAAAAATTCAAATGATGAAAAATGGCAGTTTCTAGAGTTAATAATGAATTCCATTTAAGCCACCCTGAATCCTTTATGCTTTGAAAAAAAAATCTGAAACACTTTGTTTTAAATTCAGAAAGTGTTCTGTGAATTCAAAGTAGAACAAGCTATCTTATCACCATTGAATCTAATTCGCCAATACTTTTGGATATAAAAATTGAAACTGCTAAAGTATAATTTACATATAAACTATCTGAAATGAATACACCAATGACTTGTTGTAATACAGCTAAGCACCACACATGTATATTATGACTATATGGTGCCACCGTGTCAGACTTGGGGGATAGATTTCGTTTTTCTCCCATGCATAATCAGAGTTTTATGTAAATTAATATTTTATGGTTGTAGTCCAACTTAAATTACTCCACCAAAGGGAATTTGCAGCCTATATACATCTGTAGGAAATAACTAAAAATGGTCATGTAGTTTTCTCTATTACTTTGGTCAATAAAGACTGCCAGTTGCTTAGCAACAACAACAAACTCGGAAAGCTTACTTTTACTGCAGGACTTTCTGCTGTACTCTAGGTCTGACTCTGGTTATGGGTTGGAAGACATGAATTCTAGAACATTAGTGAATCTTTTGAAGGAGAGGATACTGGTACTCAGATTTGGTCAGGCCATAATACATTCGAACTTAGCTTCTGAAGAAGTCTCTGCTTTCTAAATGAGGGCTACATAGAAGCTGCTTGACTAGGAGAGTTTTGAAACTATAAGAAAGGAGAAAGTTACTCAACCTTGGGAAGAGTGTAGATAATGATTCATAAAAAGAAAATGATGGCAGAACAGTCCTTGGAGTGTCAGTCTCCCTACTGGAGTGGCCTTGATTGTACTAACTCTGGATTTTACCCTTGTTCATTTGGTTACCACATCTAGAATTCATCCATCACTCTTAACATAACTATTTTTTAATAAGAGCTGGGTGATACTTATGAAGAATGAATTCTAAACTAAGAACATCTAACAGTCTTCATAGTTTTAGTTTAAATGGTATCGGTTGTACGAAAAAGTGTCACAAATAAGAACAGGTTGAAGAACGCCTGTGTACCTGCAGTCACGTTCTTTATTTGTAGGAAGAGTCACAATTGGGAAATATGCCTACTTCCTTTTTTTTTTTTTTTATTTTGTATGGTAATCTCCTTTGAGCAATGTGATTAAACCTTTAGTTTTACATTTTCAATTTATTTTTCCAAATTCAACAGACCCTGAAATTTGACAACCTATCAGAACACGGACATTCTGATTAATGGTTATTTTCAATAAAGCATCCAATACCATGGATGAGAAGATAAGAATAGTGAGCATCACATTTATTACTATTCTCTCTGTTCCCACAGTATGCCAAGTACTTAAATATTTTTTTTAAAAAAAAAAGCAGAACAAAACAAAGGTTTGTTTTATTTGAAATATTAAGATATAGGTTGGCTTTGGGGTACTCAGTTTACTGAGGAAATTATTCCTTAGATTATATTAAAAATTGAAAGATGTTAGACCTGGGATTGGCTTTGGGCTTATCTCATTTTTGACTGGTTTTGCTGTTAGACTACCTTAAGATATTTCTGAATATTAAATACTGTTTAGGAAAGAATTTAAAATTTAAAGAAATAAATTTCTAGGTATTTTCCCTCTTGTTTTAACACAGTAAATGTCTAAAATTGTGTATAATGCCTAACTTCTGATGGACTTTAGTTTCAATTTTGTTCTTAGTCATTGCAGATATTGACAAAATGTCATACGAAATTATTTTGTATTTTTTGTAGGACTGGGAAACAGAAAATCATGACTGGTATTGTTTTGAATGCCATTTGCCTGGAGAGGTGTTGATATGTGACCTGTGTTTTCGTGTGTATCATTCCAAGTGTTTGTCTGATGAGTTCAGGCTTAGAGACAGCAGTAGTCACTGGCTGTGCCCAGTTTGCAGGGTGAGTACCTATGAGCTTTCATGTGCTGGTTAGAGGGTGGAAACAATAGCTTCACAAAGTTATCCCAGGTGGTCTTGCCAGGTTAATGGGTAAAGTACTGGGGGTGGGTGGGGGCTGTCTGCTAAAATGACGGTAAATGAACACAGGGCACTCAGAAGTCGACATCACAGAACACGGGCCATATTTCAGGGTGCGGATTGCAGAAAGCGTTAATCATGTAGAAATATACTTTCTTTCCTCACTTTATACCTGCCTCTGGATGATATGTTACTTTAATGGATAGACTTCGGAAATAAGAACTATTACACCATACCAAGATCTGTTCAATAAGTACTTTGTGATAAACTGCACAATTTATGCTACCCAGAGAACACAGTTAGCAAAAGGCACATTGTCGAATGCATTCTTTATCTATTTCCCCTATAACGTTGCCTTTATTTTTGTCATACCATGAGTTAGTTTATTTTCTGCTTATATTTTATTTTGAATGTGGAGGGATGGGACACTGTAAAAAGAATTGTAATTACTTTATTTAAAGCACAGTGAAATTGCCCGGTAGGTAAAATAGATACATACCGCAATTATGTTGATTCATTTTTCCCTTGCGGAATATACATGCTGTGATTGTTGGTTACAGAATGTGGTATGTCTGTGTACACGAGTGATGTGAATACTACATTACATGTGGCTTCGTCAGCACCCAGTAAGGAATTTATTACTGCAGCTTCTATTGGTTTACACTTGCTATTATTAACATATTTATTTGGAACCATGCAAACTGTCCAGACTACTCATGAATTCAGTTCGTGAAGACATTTTATAACACTTGAGTAATTTTAATGTTCAATTACTCTTCCACAAGAGGTTTTTATTTTCATAAATTTCTCCCTCTTTGACCTTAGTCAAAAATTTCTGTTAGTATGGCGAGCAAAGTATACCATATATTCTAGTCTTCCCTAAGTAACTATGGCTTTGTAATTACCCAAGTGTTCTTCATCTTACCAACAATACTCTACATAGCCAGTAGGCAAACAGGAGGCAGTTGGGTTAGCATTAAAAAAAAAAAAAAAGAAAAAAGCTTCATAATGACTTTATAAAAAGCCTGCATGTCATACAAGTAATAAAAATCTCTGAGTACACTGGAGTCAAGGCAGAAGCTGTCGACCTTCTCTTTGACATATACAAGACATTAGTGTAAGCAGTGGCTTAACTAGTCATAATTTTGAGTAAAGGAGCTGCATTAATAATTTCTATTCCAGTTTCTCATGGATTTGGATTGTGCATTTAAAAACCAAAGACGTATCTTCTGTTTTCTGGTAAAAATGTATACTAGGGAGAACAAAAATTTGTCAGATTTTAAGAACATGATCACTACAGTAATAAAAATGTAAAAGGAAAAAAGTGGCAATGTCACTGGTCAAAGGGAATTGTAATATGGATGCAGGAATTGGAAGTACATTCTGGGTGTACCTGTGTCTGTAGCCATAGCTTTTTCATGTCTAATATTTAGTGTTTCTTTTTGTAGTAAAGAATTTAAACAAAAATACTGGGATTTTTGAGAGTGAGTTAAACTTCACTGTAGATGTTTTAACTCTTCTCATGTTAAGAATGGAAATTAAACAATTTTAATTTTTTTGAAGGAAATGTTACTATTTCTACCAAAAGGATCAATATCAAGTTTTCCGATTCCATTTTCTTTCTTTCTTTTTTTCTTTGAGAGGTTTTTGCTGTAGAGCACGTGTGCTTGCCAGAATGGCCATGCCACAGTCCCTTCTCCTCCATTCTCCTCTCGGGATCTTGGGCACACATGCACACACACTCGGCATGAGATTAAGCCACCATGTCCGGAACTCGAACCACAGTTGACTACATGGGAGTCCAGTGACATAGCCATTGTGCCAACTGCTGGTCCCACCAATTACATTTTCTTTTTGTGTTTGTTCTACTCTTAATTGATTAGATGATTAAAAAAAAAAGAAGAAAACTAACAGTTTTATTGATTCATACAGCAAAATAATTCTCCTTTCCTGTTTTTTTTTTTTTTTTCCTCTTTGGCTTTATTTTTACCATTGTTGATCTAGATATGATATTTTTACTGAAATGATTCTGTAAATCAATACAGAACCTTGAATTACACATTCATTTTAAGCCTACTTCCTGGGAAGGCTTAAAAAGCCTATTTTCTAGGTTGAAGATAGGGAGTTCTAACTTGAGCTTTAAAACTTCTAAAGAAGGGAGCTAGCAGGTGGCATGGTGGATAAGGGTGCTGGACTCCCACTTGGACAACCACGGTTGAAGTCTCAGACCTGGCAACTTGCTTTCTCACTTTCTCTCTTTCTGGTCCTTCTCTGGTCAAATCTAAAAATAAATAAATAAATAAATAAAGTTAAATAAAATAATTCTTGAAAAAAAAACTTCTAAACAAGTAGTTATTTCCATCTTAGATCCAGTCTATTGTTTTGTTAGCTATATTCAAGAAAAAGATAAGTGCTAACAATTCCTTTCCTGGGAGAAGAGGTAATAATAACTTTGACGTGCTGATGAAATTTTTTTACAAAATTTCAAGGGGAAATTTTGGTTAATTTGTTTTTTAAAGCAAAGTGTCAAAACTTCAAGTAAAGCCATTTTTAAAAAATGTGATGAAGTATGACTAACAAGACTCAAATATTCTTGGGCTAAAAAACCTCCCAATCTATAGACCCAAGCTCAAGAATATAGTTCCAAATCAGAATAACTTCCTACTCTATTTTCAGTTGTTTGGGAAGAATGTAGATTAATTAGATAAACTAATAAGAAATTTTGAAGATAAAATGCCAGAGCTAAATTTTAACGCAGGTAAAAACAGCAAATGGAAGCCAACTGTTACCACCTAAACTTAAAGATTAAAATAATTCTCAATCTTATACTTTATAGTGATTTGAAAACTATTCATCCTTTTTTTAAGAGAGATTTTCGCTATAGTGCACGTGTGCTCACCAGAGAGACAGAGAAAGTGAGAAATCACCCCCTGGGAGTATGGCCTCACTCCAATCCCTTCTCCATTCTCTTCTTGGGATCTTGGGCATGAGTGCACAAACGCCTGGTGTGTGTTTCAAGCCTCTGGGTCCTAGGCTCGAACCACAGTCAGCCAACGTGGGAGTCCAACGATGTAACCATTACACCATCTGCTGGTCCCTGTTCATTCTTAACATAACTTCTGTTCCTTACAATACTGAAAAAGTTATTGAGAACAGGCTCCCTGTCCCTCAACTATCGTCTGTGTTTCCAGATTTCATTCCACTCAAATAGCTTTATCTCACCGGCTAAACTATTTTAAAAAGGTAGTATTAGGCTTTTTCCCTCAATTAAAAATGACTTTTATGGGAACCAGCAGTTAGCGTAATGGCTATGTCGCTGGACTCCCACGTAGTCAACCGCGGTTTGCATCCAGGACCCGGTGGCTTAAAACTCACGCCGGGCGCTTGTGCGTGTGTGCCCAAGATCCCAAGAGGAGAATGGAGGAGAAGGGATTGCAGCGTGACCATCCCCCCGGGGGGTGATTTCTCGCTTTCTGTCTCTATGTCTGTCTCTGTCTGTCTGGCGCGCGCACGTGCCCTATAGCGAAAAAAAAAAGTTTGAGCATTATCCAGATTCATACTTTTGTTGAAATTTTAAAAAGACATTTAGGGCTGGCAAGTGGCATGGTGGTTAAGGATGCTGGACTCCCACATGGCCAATCAGTTCAAGTCCCGAACCTGGTGACTTGCTTTTTCACTTTACCTCTCTCTTGTTCTTTCTCTTTCTCTCTCTGTCCTCCTCTGGTCAATTAAAATAAATAGATAAAGTTAAATAAAATAATTCTTAAAAGAGACATTTAAAATTTATTTTTAAAAATTTCCTATAAAATATTCAAATAATTTTGAAGAAGAAAAAAGCAAAATCCCCAGAAATCTTCTGTAGTACATGAATGTCCTCATGGACTTTTCCCTATGTGTGTGTGTGTGTGTGTGTGTGTGTGTGTGTGTGTGTGTTGTGTGGTTGTATCAGTATCTATATAACTTTACATACATTCTTGAAATATAGCTAGTTTATTTCCTTTTCTGAGAGAGAGATTTTTTGCTATAGCATGTGTGTGCTCGCTAGAGAGACAGAAAGCAAGAAATCACCCCCCAGGGAGGGCATGGTCATACCACAATCCCTGCTATTCCATTTTCCTCTCTGGATTTTGGGCATGCATGCACACATGGCTGGTGTTTTTTTTTTTTTTTTTTTAAGACCCCAGATCTAGGACTTGAACCATGGTTGACTATGTGGGAGTCCAATGATGTAACTATTTTGCCATCTGCTGGTCCCAAGTAAAGCTAGTTTATTTCTACTCAAATATGTCCCAGACATATTTTTTCTTCTACATATTATACTTTAAAAGGGCATGCCATAATTTAACAAATTCCCCATTAATTGCATATTTATATAGTTTCTACTGTTCTACACTGAAACTCTTCTGTCATAGGAGATATTCATATTGCTCTGTTGAAAATCATGCCTTGTGTTCTATTTCTGAGTGAATGAAGTTCATATTTTATTTTATTTAAATGTATTTGAAATCTGCTTTCTTGAAACACATTAATTTTCCAGGAAAGAAAATGAGGAAATAGTACCTTTTTATGAAAGCTTTTAAGATGTTATTTATATAACAGAAATACCTTTAAAACACAATACAGTTCATTATATTTTCTAAAATGGAAGAAAATCATTTCGTATAGATATATCATTCTATCTGACCACTTTTGGGTAGGTTAAGTTCACTGAAGTGGAATTCTTAAATTTAAAGGAAAGTATGCACGTTTAAATTTTTGATGAAAGTTGTCAACTTGTCTTTGAGAAAGTTATGCCCATTTACACTGACAGCCCATGAAAGTATTTTTTCAACTTTTTGTTTACATTTTGATAAGATAAGAATAGATGTATCATTTAAATTTTGCTTCATTTTTATATAGTTTCCAAGTTACACTGTTATTTCA